TAGTCGGCATTCACGATATGCGAGAGCTTAAGCAGGTACAACTCTCAATTTATCGAGGACCCTGTTTTCCTCAAAGCAGCCAGATCATGAAGTGGGTCAGCATTAGATTCACGAATTCTCACTATAATCGCTCATATACTAGAAACCACCTGTGGAAGGTCCCGGTGCTAGTCTTATCTGCAACCTAGAGCACCTTGCCGTGACAGGTTTTTATCGTCAACTAAGCCAACCGCTCTCCTGTAATCCATATGCGCACCACTCAGTTCGCCCCTAACCTCATCTGCATACATGCTTACTAAAGTTGGTTGGAACTTGAAATAAGGGGGACCGAGCTTAGCCAGCTTCTATATCGCAAACAACACACTGCAGTGGCTCTCATAAACTTTGCATACACAGAACTACGCTAAATGACTGCCGCAGGACCGACTTCAAGTCAACGCCACCTATCCACATCATATCCATTAGCGTCTCATCCATATTCACTGTACTACTTCATCAAGCTAAGTCGATTATTCTATACCAGGCCGCTATCCATAAATCTTAATCACGTACACACATGCAAATTTATAAATATTACATTCAACTAGCTTTTACGCCTTATGATCTCTATAGACCATAAAAACACTACATCCCACAGGTTTTAATCCTTCTTATCGGTGTCAGGACAGGTCAAAGGATGGACTATTTCAAGCCTAATTCTAAAATTATATTTTAATAGAAAAAAGGAAGTTTCCTATGCCTTGTTCAAGTGTAGGAACTGTGAATGCTAAAACTAAATGGACATACATGCTTCATTCAAGTTCCTGTCATCACCTTGGAAGATAACTAAGCAACAAATAAATTCTGCTATGCCTTCTGAGCAATAGGTAAAATAAGTTTATGAAAATTCCCATTCCTATGCTGTAATATAGGATGCAATCAAGGATTAGCCAAGCAAACAGGATTTAGAGGAGCATATAAAATATTGGGATGAGTTGAAGTAAAAATAAAGGAGACCTATAATAGCTAACCTTCATCGGTTAATGCGAGAGCATGCTTAGAACCCGGATGAGCCGCAACTTTAACAACACGCACACCTGCAAGACCAATAATACGACATGGATGGGAGACTTTGGATGGTAGAAGAGATTGAGGAATCGATTCTGCTGCGGATTTGTAAGAATCCTCGAGTGTTGTAGAGTCTAAACCTATTGGGGAGTGTCTAAGAGAACTGGCTGGGTCCGATGAAGACAACCCAATAAATGGATCCTTAGTCTTGGCTTCAAGCTGTTCATCTGTAGTTGTAGTAATCAGAGAAGCGCCCTTTTTGGGTGGTGGTAGAGCCAAGCCGAGACGGCCGAAAGTGGAATCGCCACAGGAAAAGACGGCTCCTGACTTTGAAAAAATAATTTATAGGCAAAGAATAAAAAGTTATCTCCGATATTAATGATGGAAAGTTGTTGAAATAAAAAATGGATCATGTGAAACGAATGGTTTAAGCTGAACACCAGAACTCAATTACAATTCAAAGGACAGTGTGTGAATTGCAGGTGAGACAAGAAAATAATTAATATATGATCAATAGCACAAAAAACAGATGACGTGGCCTCTATTTTGTCAGCTATCTCCTCTCTCTATATGGACTAAGTCCATGACACGACGCTGAAAATCATTGTGATTACTATGGCAGAACACTCCAGACAAGCTCATCTGTCCCCTTGATAATACAGCCAATTAATGTATGATTTAAAAGTTGCAAATAAACAATGATTTTGTGTGAAACTACCGAACTACGTTTTTTAGTGTTGTGGAATATTATCAATTAAATCATAAAACGAATAAACATTTGATAGCTCTTATGAACATTTGGAAAGTGATATCAAGAGATAAATTGTCAGTCCAGATCAAGAAAAGATCGATTATGAAGTAAATTTAATTCATGAATAGCCAGAAATATTACTTGAGTCAATTGGAACAGTCTATAAGTATGATGATAATTTAAATATGCCAGTTCATTATTGCATATTCATTAGTTTCGTTGGCACCATATTTGGACAAACGAATCGGGAGTGTCAAGAGTAGAGCTAAAGCAATGCTATTAAATAAACAAGATAAATGTGCAAATATGGCAAAGTTGCAAAAAACAAAGTAAATCCAGGATACGAAACAGACAGAACGATTGTACGAAAAGACAATAATTCGGATAAAGGAGATATTAATAAAATAAATATCATAAAATTGCCCATTTGCGAAGAGATATCATGCAAAATACAAAATAGCCAATCTCCCTTAAAGACTTACAATTTTCCAAATATTTCTGTGTAAGTTCAGATGATAATTATAATAATGATAATATATGTTGTCATGTGTCCTAGGCATTGGCGTATGAAGAATAAAGCTGTGTTAGACATTCAGCCGCCAAAATTTTCCACCATGACAAGTCTGGTGTGAATCGCTGGTAGGGGCATCTCCTATTAGCATTCTTTAGATGTTCAGCTCTGATACTAACTCTATTTGTTAAGTTGTGGCCTGAATAAAGGTGATATTATTATGAAATTACTAGTTGCATCTGATATTGTATGCACTCATCATATAAAATTTAACTAAAACAAAGCAAGACATCAAATTAGAAGATAGAAGAGGTCTGGTTATGTCAAATTACAAATTTAAACAGCCTAAGTTAGGTGAGACAAAAGTGAGCTCTGTTCGATACAATCAAAGACGAACCTAGTACAAATGCAATCCATTTTTGTGAAGAGCAAGAACGGTCAGATAATGATGGATTCATATTTGAAAGTATATACAATACTTTCTTCTCCACAATGGAAATGAGAGGAAGGTAGTTGAGAGACGCATAAAAGATTAAGGTTTGATTTTAAAGGGAACAAAAATCTATGCATATGAATACACATATAATAAGTATCGACACCATAGACTCACCTCATTGACAATAAATAAGCATTTCTGACCGCCAGCGATATAAACAGGCCAAAGTCGAGATAAATTAAGGTTTAATTGTGGCAATTTGACCTTCGGTCCTGTGGGTCCCCCGAGCTGATATTTATCATTCAGCCCCCACACAAAGACAGTGGGGCATCCTCGAGGAAGGGAAAGCGAAGGATTGGTGCAGGACGAAACTGGAAGAGTATCGGAATGAGATTCATTTTGCCAACTGAGAAAATAAAAGAAATAATGAACTTATCGAGTGGATCGAAAAATATTTTAAGTTCAGAGCATATTCTGAATGACGTATTAAACAATTAACCTCAAGCTCAACAAACACAGGATTTGAGTTTATATCCCTACCGAGCTATTTGATCGAAAATATGCTATAACCGATTTAAATGTCCCTCAACATGAACATAGATATGGTACAATTTCATTTACTTATTGCAAGCCCTAAAATAAAAATGATGCATATCTATTGAATACAGCTCGGTAAAATTCCTTTTATAAAAGTCTGAGAAAATATACTATAAATAGTTTGTGTATATTGATATCCTTCCCAAAAGTCTGTCAAGAAAAATCAAGTTCAGCGGCCACAGGGGGACTGGATACCCTATCGTGAGTATC